GGACCTACCACATGGCTCAGTGTAGCCACTGGTGGATACTACACAGAATTTAAGGTAGAGAACTATAGGTGTGCCTGATGCCCTTCCAGAGGATGTGAGTTCTGTCCCCAGCACCCATGTGGCTGCCTGTGACTCCGGCTCCAGAACCCTCTTCTGACACCCCCACATGTGGCACACACACAAATATATGTACAAATAATAAAATCTTTTTTTGTGTGTGTAGTTAAAGATCAGGATAAGTAGGAGGGTCAAAAAAAAAAAAAAAAAAAAAAAAAAAAAAAAAGAGGTAGTCAAGTCTGTTGACCACATCTATAATTCCAGTACCTAGGAAGCAGAGGCAGGCAGATGTCTGAGTTTGAGACCAGCCTGGCCTCTATAATAAGTCCCAGGCCAGCCAGAACTACATAGTGAGACCCTGTCTCAAAAATAAATACAAAGTGGGAGCTAGAGAGATGACTCAGCAGTTAGGAACACCAACTTTTGCAGAGGACCCAGGTTTGGCTCATAACCATCTATAAATCTATAATTTCAGCCCCAGGAAAGCCAATGCCTTCTGACCACCATGAGCACCAGGTATACAAAAGGTGCATGAACATACACGTAGACAAAACAGTCATACACATAAATCAAAACACAAAATACCACAAGATTGGTAAAATCTCCAGGTGAAGATTTCCTCTTGACTACTGAAAACTATCAAAATGTTTTAATTTTGAATTCTAACAGTATTGCAAAAGGGATTAAAGGACAAATATATCAGCAGTTCTTTTCATAAAGTGCAAATTTAATCTTCAATTGTTAGCTCCAGTAACAGCTCCTCTTGTCCACCTAAGGACAAGAGGGAAAGGCTAGTTTTTATTTCTACTTAAACGTTTTATTTCTACTTAAAGGTTTTTAAAGGACAACTTTCTTATTCTGTTTTTTGAGACAGTGTTTGTCTGTATAACAGCCCTGGCTGTCGTGGAACGCACGCTGTAGCCCAGGCTGGCCTTGAACTCACAAAGATCTGCCTACCTCTGCCTCCCAAGTGCTTGGGCTACAGGTGTGCACCACCATGCCCAGCAGAAAGACCCAATTTAGATAATGTTTTTGCAAACATGTTTCCTGGTAAGGTTTGAAGGTTCTGCAACTGTAATGAAGGAAAGTGGCCTTTAATAATTACCATGAGTAGACATAGGAATACTTAATTTAGATATTTGTGCTTACTTCCAATTTTAAGGTCTCAAACTAAAAAGTCAATAAACCAGGTGCTGGTTTGGTGCACACCTTTAATCCCAGCATTCGGAGGCAGAGGAAGGCAGATCTCTGAGTTTAAGGTCAGTCTGGTCTACAGAGCAAATTCCAGGACAGCTAGGGCTACACAGAGAAACCTTGTCTCAACAAACAAACAAACAAACAAACAAACAAAAAGGTCCAATAAGTGTCCTTTATGATGTGACCAAATTACTTTTACTGCAGTCACTTGAAGACACTGTCTGGTTTTGGCCTCTGCAACTTGAGGAAATTTACCAATATATGAAAACATTATTGGGCTGAGAGTTTAGCTTTGTGGAAAAGCATTTGCCTGGCATATGCAAGGCCCCAGGTTCTAGCTCCAGCACTGCAAACAGAAAACAAAGGTGTTGTTTCTTATATTTAAAAGGGGCTCCTCTGTTACAGGGACTGGCTTTTTTCCCAAAGGCACTGCTAGGAGCAGTTAGTCCAAGAGTACTAATCAGGTACAAAATCTATGAAAAACCTTCATAATATAGGCAAAAATTTCAAAGGCCCCAAAAGATTTGCTTTTACAAGAAAGTGCAAATTGCAGTATCTCTTGAATGATATTCTACATAATTCTACAGAAAACATAGCAATTTGGCTCAGAAAGTAAAATCTCTCATGAAGAATTCAAGTTTTTTCCTAGAAGAATAAAAAGCAAACTGTGAGAAAGCAAACTGTGAGGCAGCTTTCTGAAAATAAACTGTTAAGTTTATGGCTATACCCGTTATGAGACAAACGGGTATACACAATGAAGACTTGCATGTACTGATCTGTGTGAGACTCCTAAACTCCGGGACAGCATACAGCTCCTACCATTAGGACAGTAGTTAAAACACTGTGCACCAGTGGGTCAGATTGGCAGGGAGAAAAGAAAAACACAATTGTTTTCATGTGTTTCTCAGGTGAGATCTCAATACTTGGAAATAAATCATTAAAAATAGAACCTTTCCTCTGTAATTCCAATACTATATAATGCCAATGGGTACTCAGAATGAAGGGAAGTTCTGTGGGGTCTTACTGTGGACAGTCAGATCTTCAGCATCTGTGTGGCTGCTGCTAGATGGTAAAGGAAGTTCTCTGTTGCAGGCGGGAATCGCTTTTGCTTCAGTGCCTCAACACTGAGGATGATCTTTCCTCCATCACCTGACACTTCTGAAAATGGTGCTAGATTGGTGAAGATTTCTTTTGTTTTTAGGGCAATGTCCTTTAATAGAACATAAAAACACACAGTATGTTAGTATCTAAAATGTGCAGTTATTTTCTAGAATTCTCCTTCTGTAAATCAGACTGACTTCATAACCCCCCTCCCCAGGACAGGGTTTCTCTGGCTGTTCTGGAATTCATTCTATATACAGACTAATCTGGCCTCTAACTCAAGAGATCCACCTGCCTCTACCTCCCAAGATCTGGGATTAAAGTCATCTGCCATTATGCCCAGCTCTCAAAAAATTTTAAAACAAAATAACTTAGAAAATCAATGTTACAGATGTGTTTATAATCATTTTAGTCATTTTTAAGCATATAATGCATTGATACTAAGAATAGTCACTTTGTGGCCAGGCGGTGGTGGCACACACTTTTAATCCCAACACTCCAGAGGCAGAGGAAAGCGGATCTCTGTGAGGCTAAAGCCAATCTGGTCTACACAGTATATCTCAGTCAAAACAGGGCTACATAGTGAACTGTGTTTCAAAAAAAAAAAAAAAAAGCTAAGTGTAGAAGTATTGCTTTTGATCCCAGAACTCAGGAGGCAGAGACAGACAGATCCCTAAGAGTTTGAAGACAAAAAAAGTATCACAGGTCCACCAGGTAAAAGCTAACTGCCAAGCCTGACAATTTGAGTTTAATCCCTGAGACCCACATGGTGGTGACATGTTGAATGAAACAAGCCAGTCACAAAATAGTAGATACATGATTCTACTTAGGTGAATTCTTAGAGAAATAGAATACAGGTCACCAGGGTTCTGCAGGGAGAAAAGGAGTTGACTTCCTGGACACATAGTGCCTGTTTAGCATGGTGAAAACCTTCTAGAAACAACACAACATGGCAACTGTACTTTTTTCTTTTGCGGTATTGTGTGTGTGTGTGTGTGTGTGTGTGCATTTACATGCAACCTAGAGTTGGTTCTTCCATCGTAGGATCATTTACCTGTCTTGCTGACATCATAAACACATTCAAGTATTTTTGAACATTTATCATTTACTTTCCTTTCCCAAGATCTCATACATTATGTGGAATTATCTATGTATCACTTATAATCCATGAGAGATAATCCAAATAACCCACAACTGTAATCTCTGTATTTGACCAATGTTAATAGGGATGGCTGTTTCTCAGGCTATTGCCATTGCTCTGTTACCCCCTGTAGCTAGATATTATGACCCTATTGCTGATGACACCATATACTGGTTGTAGGACATACAGAAATTAAGCTGAAACTGGTCAAGAAACTTCCTTCCTGCTTGCTAGCTTTCATAGTGCCAGAATGTGCTATATATAGGTTGCTGACAAAGAAAGGACAACAATGGTCGTACCTCATATTAGACCCTGTATACCATAAAAGTGACCTGCAAGGTGCACTAGTGACAGTTATAGAGTAACAGTCATCTACTTTCTGACTGGGTTTGAGCCTGCTCCACAGGAGGGGATTCTTGGTTGCTGCTGTAAACCTGGTCAAAAGCCATGACTCGGGGTTGAGGGAAGAGGTGAGTTCATAGTAGGGGGAACACACTATTGCTGTTTTCTAAAAGGTCACACTGCCAAACTGCCATCTAAACATTTATGGTTATATCCATAGACTTGTGCTGCTCTAAACCTTGGTCAGAGAGGCTTCTTTCTGCAGCAGTAGTGGTTAATGCAGAGACTCAAACTGGTCAAAATGCTGAGAATAAGTGACTGAATGCTCAACCCTAAGTAGGATTGTATATCACCACCCCACCAGGCTCAGAAAACACCACAGAATCATGGAAGAGATGGTGGAAAGAAGTTAAGGGCTGGAGGATAGAAAGGAGAGCTTTGAAATCCTGACATGGCTATAGCGTTCATGAACTCAAAAACAGCTGTTATTACCTATGTAAGACCTGTACAAGATCAGGTTAAAATTCTAACATGGACAGGGAGAGGAAAAGGAAGTCCCACCGCAGCTCAATTGATGGCTGTTAGAGGGGAGATAGTCTATTTTATTTGGGAGCGTAGTCACTGGAAGGTTACTCATGCTCCAGGAGATGGCCCCACACACATGTGCATAGGGGCAGCACTAATTAAACTCAGTGTGTGTGTGTGTGTGTGGGTGGGGGGGGGGAGGCAAGTAGGCTTGGGGCTGAAGAGACAGCTTAGTGGTTAGGAGCACTTGCTGCTCTTTCAGAGGATCTAGATTCAGTTCCCAGCACCCACATAGTGGCTCACAACCATCTCTAATTCCAGTCATCCTCTTCTGACCTCTGTGTGTAATATAGTGCAAAGACATACATGCAGATAAAACACTAACACACACACACACACACACACACACACACACACACACACACACACAAAATACAGAGATAGTTGATAGATAGGTAGATGATAGACAGATGATACATAGATGGTTGGTAGGTAGGTAGGTAGATAGAAAGATAGATAGATAGATAGATAGATAGATAGATAGATAGATAGATAGATAGATGACAGATAGAGGAAGTTGGGAGGGGATCTATTGGAGAAATCCAGAAAAAGCAGGGAATAGATATCTATCAAAGTACAAAGTATTCTGTATACATGTGTGAAATTCTCAAAGAATAAGCTTAAAATGATACTAAAAAAAGAATGAGTGTTCCTGCTCTAATTTGATGGGAGGCAATGGCCAATTCACACAGGAAAAGAGAAGTATCTCAGTCTTAGGAGGGGACCCACCCACTTTTCCTGGCCATGCTGCACAGGTCACCAACACTGCAGAGAGAAAGAACAGTGCTGTCAGCCAACCCTGACAAAGCCTGCTGCCCCTTGCATCCTTTTACAGGTCAACAACTCCTCAAAGACCTAGTATTTAAAAGCTTGAACTCTTCAGAGTTCAAAAGTAGAGACTTGATTCTAAAGTTACTGTTTCAGCATTTGTTCCTCCATGAAAATTCTTGTAGCAGGATGAAATGCACTGGTGGCCCTCACAGGCATTCCAGCCCATTCAGTGATTACAATTCTCACCACCAGGGTTGGATTTAGACCAGCCCCTGTAATGACCTGCCCCTCCCTTTGTCCATCCACCATCATCTTGGCCACTGCAAAACCTGCATTTGCCCATTGGCCTGTCCCCTGACACTTCGTTCCGCTACCATGCCCTGAGTACAGTGAGGCTACTGCAGGATGCTTTATGAGGTAGATCAAGGATTACCTGTATAACCTGGCTTTCTGACTTCTCTGGGTCTTCTGCAGATTGCACAATTAGCTGACCAATTTCTTTATGTAGTTTGCCCATTGTCATGGTCTCTGATGAAAGCAGAAAGAATGTTGTATGTAGACTTAGAATTTTACACAATAAAAAATAACCAAGCCATCCAACTGAAAATTTCAAATACCACACTAATGGACTTTTCAAAAGTCAACAGATAACCCTCCAGGTTTCCATTTTATTCCCAGCACAAATGTAAAAGCATGTTGGAAGTATGATCACCAGTGCCAAACCAGAATTCCCCTTCATATCTGCCTGGTAAAGTGAATAAAATACACTGATTACAAGTGAGCTGTGACTTGAAGGCAAAAGCCCCACCATCTCACCCAAGTCTTTACACTGAGGAATCTTTTGGCACATACATTTAATCCCAGCATTTTGAAGGCTGAGGAAGGCTGATCTCTTTGAGTGGTAGGTCAGCCTGGTCTATCTACACAGTGAGTTCTAGTATAGCACTGACTATGAAGAGAGATTGTTTTAAAAAAAAGAATCAAGAAAAAAATTTAAATGCATTTTTCTGGCAGGAAGGTTGTGAAAGAAGAGATTCCTCCCCGGCCCTCGAGTGCCAGAAGAGCACACAGCATGTTCAGAGCTTTGGAAATATACAAAAGAAAACCACTTCAATCACATGAATTACAGATAGTGCTCTTGCTTGCTGTGAGATAGAAAGTTTTGTGTGTCACTGAAAGGGACACACTCCATTTAAACTGGAATGAGCATGTTCTGTAGATCAGAACAGAAAGTAGGCAGTGCCATCCTTTTTGGCCCTGGCCATGGCCATTTTTTATAATTTTAGCCTTATAAGAGCTAATATTGCCAGGCGTTGGTGGTACACGCCTTTAATCCCAGCACTCGGGAGGCAGAGGCAGGTGGATCTCTGTGAGTTCGAGACCAGCTTGGTCTACAAGAGCTAGTTCCAGGACAGCCTCCAAAGCCACAGAGAGACCCTGTCTCGAAAAAAACCAAAGAGCTAATATTTCTTAAGGTCTGTTTCTACTTTTATTTTCCCACATGAAATTTTAAAACAAGTGAAAAGAAAACAATTCTGGTTTTACTCATTTGAAGTTATGAGATAAAACCCTCACAGCATCAGACTCTAACACAGAGTCACACAGCCAGCTTTCAGATGCTCCCACACTTGGGCACTGGTGAGAGATCACACAAAAGCTATGAGCAGCAATCCCATATCTTTCTAAAACATGTAAGACCTGCAGGAATAAATTTTACACCCTGGACACTGAGAAATTCTTCCAGCTCCAGCAGATCTCAAACAAGCTCTCAAATCCTGGCTTTAGGGAGTCAGCCTAAAACATAAAGCTGCTTAGCTTGTACCTCATGTAAATACTGGAACAGAGAATAGAATGGAAAAGTCACCTTTTGCAAGTGGAGCGATGGTGATCTCACTATCTGCCAGATTCACAAACACATCGTAGAGGTCTGGTCTGTTGCTTACCTCCAATTCTACAAAGCCAGCAATGTATCCTGCATTGCAAATTGATCAAATTACTCAACCTGATGAGCACTGGCTACTTTTCTTTAGAGTTTTCTATTACTCAGGAACATTAGTTATGCCATTGGCACTTACTGATGCTATATAATCAAAATACATATGGCTCAAAATGTTCTAAAATTTAAGTTCAATGTCAAGGAACAAGGCTGAAGTAAAGCATTTACTTTTTTTTTTTTTGGTCAGTGCTATTTAGGTCAAGAACTTCAGAAAGTAGGTAACTCTCTCTTAAAGAAGCCACCCCAGCTGGGCAGTGGTGGCACACAGCTTTAGTCCCAGCACTTGGATCTCTGTGAGTTCACTAACAGCCTGGTCTACAGAGAAGCTACACAGAAACCCTATCTTGAACCCCCCAAAAAAGTCCACACCCATGTGTCTTGTCTTTCTGAGTGCCTCTCATCTCTTCTCTTAATCCTCATGTATAAAACATTAAAAATATCTTTTAATAAAAAAATCCAACTCTGTTTTAAAACAAAGAAAAAGGATGTTCAAAAGCAACATGGACTCAACCATTGTTTTCATTTCCGATTTCTGTCCTCAGGAAAGTCTAGGTTGTCAGGGACGACACAGGGACTATCTCTGAGTGCTATCAGATCTGATACAATGACTGCTAATGGAATCAGTAGACTTCTAGAATTGATGCTGTTTAGAGTGATCGTTCCTACATGTTGGTTATTTCAGAGAGCAAGTTATGTGTATGTGTGGGAGTGTGCATTTGCCACAGCATACATGTGGAGGTAAAAGGAAACTTCTGGCAGTTAGTTCTCTCCTTCTGTCATGTGGATTTCAGGGATCAAACGCAAGCCATCAAGCTTAGGGGGTGGTGCCTTTACTAGATGATCCATCTCATTGGCCCTAAAAATTCTTTAATGGCATAAAAAAAAAACAGAAGGTGTATTGGCTTAAATTAAAAAAAAAAAAGCCCATAGAAAGTTAGTATTCCTGTAAAGTAATAAACAATGATTAAATTATCTTATTATCATATATGTATAATAGTATTTTAGTGACTATGAGTTTCTTTGTGGAAAAAAAAAAAAAACGGAAAGGCTCAAAATAAAATCTAAACATTAAAGCAGGCAGCGGTGGTATACACCTTTAATCCCAGCATTCAGGAGGCAGAGACAGGCAGAAGGATCTGTGAGTTTGAAGCTAGCCTGGTCTACAAAGTGAGTTCTAGGACAGCCAAGGCTGTTAACACAGAGAAAAATCCCTGTCTTGAAAAAATAACCAAAACAAAAACACCCCAAAAAAAAAAAACCAAAACCTAAGCACTCAAAAGGAAATTATTAACTTGGGGCTGGGACTATAGCTCAGTGGTAGTGGCCTTGCCTACCATGCCTGAAGCTAAGCCCTACATTCAATTTCTAATATCATGAAAACACACACACACACACACACACACACACACACACACACACACACACACACAAACACACACACACAAACACACTCACACACACACGCACACAAAACAAACAAAAAAACCCAAGAAAACAAAACCAACAAGTTAAAATGATAATTTTGTGCATTTTACCACAACTTTTAAAAATGTTCTTAAAATGGAAAAATTTGCAAAAACCATTCCATTATTCATTTAACCAATGTATGCATGCCCCACCAATACAAATATACACACCAAACAAACATAAGCAGAGTTTTGCTCCCCTGGGATGTTCTCATGTACCTGTGCACATCTGCAGGCCTTCCAGTTCTTCAGCATGGAGGTGCATGTAGGAATGCAGGATGGTCCAATCCTGTCGATGCCACACCAGGGCAGGCAGAGTCCTGAGGAATAAATGTAGTGCAACTTCTAATTGGTCTTAATAATAAAAACCCCAAGTCAGATATAGGGGTAAATGCTGATAGATCAGAAAAGCAGAGTAACAAACCACTCGTTCTTGCTTCTACTGAATCCTCAGACTGAATGGGTAAGCCTGTCTCTAGGAATCCTCAGAGTGAATGCAGTGAGCTCCTGTCTCCCCCCACCTTATATTCCTCTCTGTGCCCAGCCATATCACTCCTGTCTCCACATCCCTAGTGCTTCGATTAAAGGCATGTGATTCCCAAGTACTGGGATTAAAGGTATGAGCCACCACTGCCTAGCTCTGTTTCTCTTTTAGACTAGATCAATTTTGTGTAGCCCACGGTGGCCTTAAATTCAGAGATCCACCTGCCTCTGCCTCCCAAGTGCTAGAATTAAAGGTGTGTGCCACTACTGCCTGGCTTCTATGGCTAACTAGGATGCCTAGCTTTGCACTCGGATCTTCAGGCAAGATTTATTTGTTAAAGCACAAACAAAATATCACAAATAAAGGAAAAAACTCAGTCATACAGTTGCTGACCTTCACTATGGACATTGCCTGCTTCTTCTTCTCCCAAGAGGAAATATTCAGGGTCAAGTCCCAAGAATGAATGGCTATTCAGGAAGAGGGAAAACTAAACCTTAAATGTACTAACACCTCTGGACTTGACAATAAAACAATGCTTGCCTGTGTGCACATGTTTGTGTGCCTGCGTGTGTATGTGTGCATCTTGGAACAAGGTATTATACCCTGGCTGTCTTGGAACTCACTATGTAGTCCAGGCTGGCCTCAAACTCATGACAATCCTCCTGCTATAGCTTCCAAAGTGCTGGGATTATAGGTGTATAGTCACCAAACCTGGATGAGGCTATATAATTAAACAACCTTTTGAGTCAGATTATCTACAAAAGCTCTAGATGAAGTTTGCAAACTGCTAGAGACATGTTTGGGGTGATATCCAAACTAGTCCCAGCAAGACAGTTGTTTTCTGGAAGTCTCTTATTTATATTTACAATTGTAGCCAAACTTGCAAAACGTGTTGTTTGTTTTCAGACAACACACAAGTTTAAACAGAAATACTTTGAGCAGGGGGCTGGAGAGATGGCTCAGCAGTTAAGAGTACTGGCTGCTCTTCCAGAGAATCCAGGTTTAATTCCGAGCACCCATATAGGGACTCACAACCAACTCCAGTCCCGGTGGATCCAAGACCCCCTTCTGGCCTCTGCAAAAATTAGGCACACCCGTGGTGCACAGGCATACATGTAGGCAAACCACCCATACACACAGAATAAACAAAAATTGTAAAAAACATGTGCTGCAGGCAGGAGTGAGGAATTCATGCAGCTTCAAAAAACTCATTTCAGAAGGTATGGATACTCTAGTTTAAGAATAATGGAGGCAGGAACGTGATGAGGTAAAGTCAAAGACAGAGGAACAGGATGAAAACTCTGGCCCTCTCACCTTGACTGAACAAAACACAGCCCAAAGATAACCATTTTAAAGCAGGCACAGTAAAAGGTGAGGCACTTAGAAAGCACATTACATAAATTATTCCCAGTACTGAAAACAAGCTCATCGTTTGTATACTATGATCCTAAAATTATGGAAGCTCAGAACAGCCAGTATCTTTTACGTGGCCACAGAGCTAACAAGTTGTCATTTCATGATTTTAACCCAGGACTTTTGCCTACAAAGCATTTTAACCTTTTCATAATCTCACCACTTAACTTCTGCCTCATTTTCTCATTCATAAAATGTAACAGTGCTACTTCCTTGCATTTTTTATCATGAGTAAGATGAACAATTTAAGGTATCCTATTTATTCGAATTCAATAAACACAAGGCAAATAACAATTCTTTTTGCTTTTTAAAAAGACTTAAGAATGAACTAGAGGCTGGGTGGTAGTGACACATACCTTTAATCCCAGCACTCAGGAGGCAGAGGCAGGTGGATCTCTCTGAGTTGGAGGCAAGCCTGGTCTACAGAGAGAATTCCAGGACAGCCTCCAAAGCCACACAGGA